ATAATAAATTAATAATTAATATACTTTAAAAATAGCAATTAATATTTAATAATATATTATAAAATATAAAATATTACTTTTGGAATTACATCTCCAGTAGTTATAACAAATCTAATATAATATCTTCAGTTTTAGCTTCACCTGCTTTTATTTGTTCTAGAATATGCTGTACAGCTAAATTCATAACATGAGCAATACAATGACAATGATTACCAATAACATCAAAATCAATACTTTTATTTTGACAAGTATTTTCTAAATATTCCATAAAAGTATTATTGTTTGGAGCATTATCGCTTGTAATTGCAAAAATCTATTATAAATAAATAATTTTATTATCATATATTCTCAAAGATTAAAGATTAACAAAATATATAAAAAATTTACCTTTTTTAAAATTCCAAAATCATCACAATTTTTTACAAAAGCATTACAAATATTTTCACCAGAATGAAGACCAGAAAGTTTTATAAAATCAAGTAAACTATCACAAAGTTTCCAATCTTTTAAAATCCAATGTATTGTAATAGCTAAAAATCTATAACCATTTATTGATATCTATGTATCTAGAGTAAATGAAATTCTGCCAGGAATATTTTATTAATATTTATAAATATAAGTTTAAGAAGAACTTATAATTATTTTTACATATACAACTATTTACCTGAAACAAAATTTATCTTTTTTTTTGCTCCTCTTCAAAATTTTTTATTATATCATTTTTAATAGTAATTGTTTTAGGAACTAATACATCTGAATTCAAGACCTTCACTATATTTCGAAAATGTTTATTCTCAGTTGTTGTAAATGGCTAATCATTAGCAATTATCCATTTAGTAAGAAACTTATGAAAATCTGTTTGTGTAAATTTAAGAATAATTGTATAAACAATAATAAATAATAATGTAAAAATATATTTATAATTTATAAATTATAATAATTAATTACACTTATTACAAGGTGGAATCTCTATTTGGCCTACAAATTTATCTTTTATTAGGCCTTGGATCTTTTTTTGGATGATGAACTTCTACATGACGCCAAAGATTAGTTGTATTAGAATCTCCAATTTACAGTTTCAGGTTTTTTGATTTCTACAATTTTAAAAGAAATATAGTTAATAATTAATATTTGTGCACAATGGATTGGTAGTATCATTATAGAAATTTATTTACTTACAGATAATTAAGACACTGAACTTCCCTATAAGTTTTGGCATCTTTATGTTCTGGTGGAAGATTTCTTTCTTCAAAGAGATCTTTAGTAAAAAGATCACTATACAACACCTTTCTTTTTCTAAGATGTTGAATTGGTGGAGTTGTTAGTTCAGTTAAATCAATAGACATTGCAGAAAGTTGATTGAATATCAGGCGAAAAAAAGATTTAGATAATTAAATCAATTTTAATAATCTTCTGAATTAATTCAAGGCAAAACTCAGGTCAAGAAAATATATGACCGGACCTGTCAATCAGATCATGTGGATCACAAGCTATCAAAAAATGTTAATACTGACTCGATCTAAGAATGTGAGTCGGGTCAAATTACCCAGGTTAACCTGGATTTATCAGAGCATTAAATAAAAGAATTGTTCTAATAGAATAATAATGCATTATTCTAAAGGAACAATAGAAGAATTATTTCAATGGAACGATTAAACATCATTCTAAAGGAATGATAAATAAAATCATTCTGATAGAATGATAATAAATTGTTCTGATAGAACAATAAAGCATTGTTCTAAAATAAAGATGCTCGCCGAAATTCTCTCAAAATAATTTTGTCATACCCCTTACTATGTTTTTAATATAGTTTCAATTAATTTCAGATTTCAGGATTTTGTCGTACCCTCACTATGTTTTAATATCATTTCGGCTGTTTATTAATTGTTTTTTTTTGGTTTTATGCTTCATCTTTATTCTAAAGAAATGATAGAAGAATCATTCTAATAGAATGATGAATAAACAATTATTCTTTTTGAATAATAATTGAATCATTTCTTAAGAATAATAATAAATTATTCTTTTTGGAATGATAGAAGAATCATTTTAATAGAACAATTAAATATCATTCTAAAGAAATGATAAAAGAATCGTTCTGATAGAATGATAATGCATTATTCTAAAAAAACTATAGAAAAATTATTCTAATAGAATGATTAATCATTATTCTAAAAGAATAATAAATAAAATCATTCTGATAAAATGATAATAAACCATTCTAAAGGAAGGATAGAAAAATCATTCTGATAGAATGATAAAGCATTGTTCTAAAGAAACAATAGAAGAATCATTCCAATAGAATGATAAATGAACAATCGTTTTTTTGAAATGATAATTGAATTGTTTCTTAAAAAACAATAATTGAATCGTTCCTTAAGAATGATAATAAATCATTCTTTTTAGAATGATAATCAAATTATTCCTTAAAGAATAATAATAAATCGTTTTTTTTGAAATGATAATTGAATCATTTCTTAAAAACGATAATTGAATTATTTTTTAAAGAACGATAATAAATCATTCTTTTTGGAATAATAATCAATTGTTCCTTTAAAATAATACATTATCGTTCTATTAGAATAATTCTCTCTATTATTTCTTTAGAAGAATGTATTATCATTCTATCAGAATGATTCTCTTTATCGTTTCTTTAAAATGATGTATTATTATTTTTAAGGAACAATTCTTTTATCATTTCCTATGAAAAATATACTATAGTTCTATCAGAATATTTTTTTTTATTGTTCTTATAAAATGATGATTTATTGTTCTATTAGAATGAAACTTCTATTGTTCTTTTAGAACTATATAAATTATTCTATCTGAATGATTTTTTTTATACTTTCTTTAAAAAAAATTTGTCAAATTATTTAGCTTAATTTTAGGTTTGAGTTTATATTTGAGTTTTGCTCAACTTTAGGCTCAGATTTAGCTCAAATTATCTCGAGTCGAGTTAAGCTTATCTTGAAATTCAACTCAAGTTAAAGGAGTCAAATTTTTTATAACTTGATTTGACTCAACTCAACTCAACTCATTTAACTCAAAAGTTAGCTCAGCTCATTCAGAATTCTATTAATGCTTTATAATAAATAATTTAATAAATTTTATCAGTTGATAATTTATCTGTAACTTTTATTTCACTAATATCTTTTTTAGTCTAATTTGACTAAAGATGGTTCCCATAATTATTTTTAAAATTTTTAACTAGTTGCAACTTAAATTGCAACATTTTGAGTTGCAACTTCTTAATTATAGTGTAATAAACTAAAAAGTTATCTTTTAGATCACATGATTTTTATCTTGTCACAAAATCCATCCAATCAG